CCCCGGAGGAGCCCCCGAGCCCCGAGGGCCCCACGGCCCCACCGCTGCAGTGGGAGGAGAGGAAGTCGGAGTGCGTTGTGTGCATGGAGCAGGAGGTGAGGCCCTGGGACACAGCTGGGGCTGGAGCAGGGGTGGGGTGAGGGCAGCATCCAGCACATCCCCTGGCTCTGTGTGCCCAGGGCAATGCCTGGGTGCTCATCCCTCCAGCTCCCGGGCACTGCAGCAGGGAGGGAGGGAGAGAGGACAGAGCCCTCTCTGTGCAGGCTTGGGCAGGACCTCGCTGAGCTCCTGTGCTGTCTGTCCATCCAGCAGCTGTGGGAAGTGTTCATGGGGCTGGTCATTTCACCCCTGCCCCGTGTCCTTCCCCGTGTCCTGTCACTCCCGCTCGGCACAGCCCGGGGCTGAGCTGGACTCTGGGGCTCTGCCTCCCACACTGACACCGGGGCCATCCCCAGCTCCCTGGGCTGGGATGGGTGTTAGGGGCCAGCAGCCCTCTCCATGTCCTCTCCTGCGTCTCTTCCCGCAGCCCCAGATGATTTTCCTGCCCTGTGGCCACGTCTGCTGCTGCCAGAGCTGCTGCGAGCGGCTGCTCTCGTGTCCCCTGTGCCGCCGGGACATCGCTCAGCGCGTCCGCATCTTCCACAGCGGGTAGGCTGGGCCGGGAGCGCCTTCCCGGGGTGATCCCCTGCTGCTCCGTGCCAGTGTCACACAGCCCCTGCCCAGCATGCCCAGCACTGCCCTCCCCGTGCTCCAGGAGTCTGAGCATCCTCCGTGTTCCCCGATGGCTTCTCAGCATCCACCTCGGGCTCCTTCGGATGAATCCCCTCCTCCTCCTGCCTGCCCGGGAGCGCTGGGGGATGGAACTGGGTGCCCCTCCTCTCTGACAGAGGGATTTGCCTTCAGAAAGGCCCCTGGCTCAGCAGAGACACCGTCGGTGTTTCCTGGAGGTGGGGAATCTCCCGTGGGAGGACTCTGTCGGGCCGTGCTGTGTGCTGGGTGCTGACAGTGCCTTGTACCTCTGCCATGCCAAAGGTTCTGCTCTGGAGACCCCCAGGAGCGTGTCTGGGGCTGCAGCCACAGCTCCCTGACCCCTCGTTCCTGTGGGAGGGGAGAGTCTGGAACAGCCCCAAGACTAGAGGGACCTACTCTGGCCAGAGGGGCCCAGGGAGGTCCCTCATCCAAAAATTATGTTGGAGCAGAAAGTGTCTCTGTCACCTGACAGCACCGATCCGGTGGTGAGCAGGGGGCTGGGGCTGCTCCCAGCACAGATCCACGTTTCCTCTGTGCACGGGGCTGTGGGGAGTTCTCCATCACCCTCAGTAGGCACCGATCCCCCTCTGTGCATCTGCTCCTGACCCTGAAGTATAAAAATGCTGCCACGATTCCAGTCCCACCTCAGCCCTTCCCCCAGAGCAGCCATTAAACTGCAGCTGGTTTCTGCTGATGGGTGTTTGCTGCCTTTTTCCTTCTGGAGGGGGGGATGGCTGAAATCCAGGGGCTGTGGAATACGGGTGAAGCTGCCACGTGCTCAGCTGTCCAGGTGTCACCCTCCTCCTCTCTGTGTCAGACTGGGAGGATCTTGGACTTCTCCAAGGGAGTTTCTCACTGCAGAGCTGCCCCGGGGAGGTCCAGGCACTGGGAGACCTTGGACCCTGTGCTGGGGTCACCTCATGTGTGTGGCCTCGTGGAGGTGGTGGGTGGGCAGTGCCCAGCACTGTGTGTTCTGTGCTGTCCCGGGGACGTGCCACAGCAGCAGGGCCGGGTCTGTGTGGCCCTGGCTGAGCCCCTCGGGGACATCCTGGGGACGTTTCCAGCCTCTGTCTTGAGGTTGAGCTGTGGCTGCACATCCAGGGGGCCGGGCCAGGGGACACAGCGGGAGCAGCTGGTGCTTGGGGTGCAGGAGGGGAGCATTGGGGTGCTCGAATGAGGGCAGGAGGGGGTTAGGAGGGGATCACCCCCCCGCATCCCTCCCATGCCCCCTCGCCTGGCCGTGTGTGGGCAGAGGGGTGCTCAGCATTCCCCGGGGTCGGGGAGGGGGAAGGAGTCAGACTGGCCCAGGAAGGAGTCAGACTGGCCCAGGAATGAGACACGGCGAGGCAGCGGGAGGGTGGTGGGTCCCACCCACCCTCTGCAGAGCCCCATCCCCGCAGGGAGCCCCCACTGTGTCCCACTCAGGGATCGCACGGGGAGCCCCACGAGTCCGGATGGAGGGGGAGGAGAGCCGAGACCTGCTCGGCAGCAGCGATGCTGCAACGCCACCCCCTCTTCCCACCGCCCCCTCCACCCCAGCCGGTGACCGCCTTCGTGCCCCCGGGCCGTGCTGGGGGTGATAATGAGTGACAGGAGCTCAGGACAAGGTCCGCCGCCTGCCCCTAAAGAGGTGCCAGCGCCAGCACTTCCCGGCGCGTCGGCAGTGCCGGGGCTGCCCTTCGTCCCCAGGGAAACCACGAGTCCCCAGGACCACCACGAGTCCCCAGGGCCACCACAGGTCCCCAGCCCCACGCAGGACCGACCCCGGTCAGCCGTGGATGGGAACAGACCAGCTGGAGCATCCCGTGGGAGCCTGGGCACTGCTGCGCGATGATGCCCCGGGTCACCCCAGGTGGTGCTTGGGCGTTTTCAGAGATTGCAGAAAAATTAAAAAAAAAAAAAATTAAAAAAAAAGCATCCTCACGCTTTGCCCTCATCCAGCCCCAGCTGTGCAGCCCCCTGTGCTCAGCACAACCATCCCCTGCCCTCGGAGGGCTCCGGAGCCCCGAGGGGGCCGTGCCGGTGCTGTCCGGGGTCACCCCCTGCCCCAGGGGTTGTGAAATGGGTGCAAGACGGGGCTCTTGTGCCCACGGCTGACCCCGTCCTGCAGCAAAATAACGACAGAAATGGTGCTTGGGGAACGTTGAGAATACAATGGATTTGGGAATGGAAAAGGCAGAGAACAGCAGGGTTTGGGGGCAGTGGAGGAGGAGCGTTCCCGCTGTGCCGCTCCAGTGCCCGCCGGGCCCCGGGGCCGGGCTGGAGTTCGGGGGGTGGTTCTGGCCCCCTCACCCCACCCTGGGCACGGCCACCGCCCGCCCCCGCCTTCAAAAGGACACGGCCGTGCCCCCGTTCCCTGTGTGCCCTCAGAGCCATGGCAGCGGGCCCGGAGGCCGCCAGGGAGTGCGGGATCTGCTACGAGGCGTATTGGGGGGCCGGGGGGCCCCCCCAGGAGCTGCCCTGCCGGCACTCGCTGTGCCGGCGCTGCCTGCGCAGGCTGGTCTGTCGCGCTGCCACCGCGACCTTCGTCAGCTGCCCCTTCTGCAGGATGGTGACGCTGCTGCCCGAGGTGCCCCCCGGTGCCCCCGGGGCCACCCCGGCCTCGGGGACCCCTCGCGGGGAGGAGGAGGATGGGGAGGAAGGCGGCGGTGCCCTCCCGGGCTCCGGGCGAGGCTCGGGGCGGCCCGTGGCCGTGGAGGTGATGTGCCCGTCCCACGGGCCCGTCTTCGCCGTGAGCGGCTCCGTGTCCCCCTGCGGGCCCCGCCGCGGCTCCGAGGCCCCGGGCGGCTTCGTGCTGGGGCTGCTGGGCCGGGGGGTCCTGCTGGACACGCAGCCCCCGCTCGCCTCCATGGAGAACCTGCGGCTCGGCTTCGCCGCCGGCATCCTCGTGCTCATCGTCTCCACCTTCTTCCTGCTCGTCTTCCTCAAGTAGGTCCGGATGGCGGAGGGGGCTCCCGTCCCACCCCAGCCAGCCCCAGCGATGGACCCAGCGGCGGGGCAGGGACGGCTCAGCCCGTGGATACCTCGGGACGCGGCACCCCCTGGATCCAGCCCGGGCACTCGGGGCCCGCAGGACGCTCGGCTGCCCCGCACACGAGCCCCGGGGCATCAGACTCTTTAAAAATTAACTTACTGCAGCTCTTTCCTTCCCCCCCGGGGTCTGGCCGTGCTCGTGTTCCATTCCTGACATTCCCGGCCCCTCCGGATCCCACGGCAGCAGCTCGGCGGGAGACACGGCGGGGGCCACACTCACTTCCCGGAGGAAAATCCCCCGGCTGCACCTCAGTCCACCGGGCATCGGGAACGGGAAGGGTCCTGCAGTGCTTCCCTGGGGGGAAAACTGTTCCAAGGCAACTAAGAGCCCTTTCCTGTGCGGACAGAGCCTGTAGAGGGACGAGGGAGCCGGGATGGGCCCCGCAGAGACTCGAGCCATTAAAGCCAGACGTGGGCCCAGCACCGTGTCCCGTGGTGTTTCTGTGAATCCAGCACAGGCAGGGCAGGGCTGAGCACCAGGCCCACCTGTGGAGAAGGGGCTCCTCTTCCCCAACTTCCCCCCACAACTCTCTCTTGGGCACATCCTCAGCAAGGTCCCTCCCTGTCACCAGAACTCAGCACCCAGGATCAGAATTGGCCCCTTCACAGTGACAGCAGCATCCCCTCCTTGGCCCTGGCACGTCCATCCCTCCCAGAGCCTGCTGGCTCCAGAGCTCCCTCGCCCTCACCCTTCCTGCACCCAAGGCAGGTGCACACATGGTTAATTCAGATCCTGAGACTGAGCCAGAAAAAACCCGGGAGCTCCAGGCTGAGGCAGAGGGAGATGGCAGGGTGGGGAAGGGGTTGTGTTACCTGCTGTGAGAGGGCCAAGTTTCAATCTCGGCTCCAGCACCCCAAACCCTGCCCAGGGCTGCACCTTCCTGCAGCTCCAGAACAGCTCAGAGGGGTGCTGGAGCTGCTGCCAACCCCTGTGAGATTCCCAAAGTCCCCCTTCCCTAAAGCCTGAGGAGAGCCAGGTGAGTGACCCCTGTGACCACCACAGTTCTTTGGTGCTTCATCTGCTGGCACTGACACTGTCCAAGGTGAGAGCCCAAGGAGCCACAGTCACAGCACAGGGGACCTGCTCTCCTGCCCCAGGAGAGGGGCTCAGCAAGAACATGCCCAGAAGATTCCTAGATCAGATTATTCCTGATTTAAGTCACTTTTCAAGTGAGAGATGAAGCCAGACTAAAGTAAAGCCCATGCAAGCAAAAAAATACAGGTTTAATTGCACTTTATTTTCCAAGAAGTGAAATGCAAATCCCTCAGGTTGTCTATTTGTAACAGGGAACAAGAAGTGGAACTTGTTAGTTATGAGCAATGACCTCTCCTGGGACAGTGCATGGACAGAGGCCACATCAGGGCCCCAACACTGGGAGCAGCACAAGGAGCCCCAGAGAAAATCCAGGTTCCAAACACCATCAGGGTCAGCACTAACTTCTGGAGTGGCTCCCAGGAAGCCCCAGCTCAGGTACCTGGCACCAGGGTGGCTGTTTCACAGGCTTTGGTCTCTGCCCAAATTTAGCTGCATTTGGCAAGTTGTGGCACTGAGGGGGTGGGGCAGGGACAGGGACCAGCCCCACACCCCAACAGCAACATCCAGTGCTCTTTTGGGTGTTTTCCTCCCAAGAAATCACCTTTGGGAAGACACAGAGTAGTTCCAGTCACAGGTGATTAGAGGCAGTTGTAGAAACTAAATTGCAGTAGATTCAGTTTAAGCTGTTTCATTTTATTAAGTGAAAGGAGTTACTTGTTTTAAAGACATCAAGGGCTGCTAGTTTAGGTTGTGTTAGTGCCAATGAGTGAAGAGTGAAAGTGCTGTGAGAGCCCCAGGCTGTTTGCCCAGCTCTGTCCTCGCTCCTTTCCCCTCTTGGCTCCCTCAGACTGAGGGGTTACACCCCAAACCCCACCTGCCCAGCACAGCCTGGGGTGGTTACAGCTTGTGTTCACCATCACTGGGGCTTACTTTGTGCTGTGATGGTCACACTTGAACAGCAGCAGAGCCAAAGGCACAGGGGAGGGGCTGGGCTGCCTGCAGGGACTGTGCTGCTGCTCCCACTGCCAGGGAAACACAGCCCAGCAAAAATCCCCTCAGCTCTGGCCAGAGGAGAGGAGCTGGCTGGGAGGTCTCTGTGAGCCCTGGGGTTCCTTCTCAACACACAGCCAGGGGTTGGGCTCCTTCAGCCATCACCGGGGGTTGGTCTAACAGAGCCCTGAGGGTCAGCACCACTCACAGGGCCCTGGTCCAGCACCACCCGTGCCACAGCTCTGCCTCAGTGCCCACCCGAACCACCTCAGCCCCCAGGGGCCCCCCCTGCTTGTGCAGAGCCAGCGGCTCACAAGAGAAGCCCTGTCTAGAGTCTCATCTCCAGCAGCACATGGCTCACACCCAGTGGTGAGAGGGTGCAGGGAATCTTGGAGCCACCCTGGGCACTAAGAAGTATTCCAAGGAGATCTTCACTGGGAGAGAAAAGGAGATTTTAGTCTGATTTTTCAAACAGGCTGTTCCCCCTGCAGGGTCCTGCCAAAGCACTTCACAAAGTTCCTATTTGGAGGGAGTCTGAGGTTCAGGAATCCAGGGCTCAGGGAGGGGGACAGCAACAGGATGTGCTGTGGCACTGTTTGGCTCCTGCACTCCAACCCCCGTGTGTTTGGCAGCTCAGAGCAACAGGGTTGAGTGCCCACGAGTGCAACAAGAGCCACTGCTCTCAGCCCCCTCAGCCTGCAGGACTGCAGGGAAGTCCCTGCTCATTCCCAAGTGTCCCACTCGCCAAGTGCTCAGTGCACAGGAAGAGGCCGTGCCCAGAGGAGACATCCCAGCCAGACCTTCATCCCAGCCAGTCCAGATCATCATCATCATCATCCCCAAACAGTGGGGCAGGAGGGGGACGCCCCTTCATGCTCTGCAAGGCAAACCAGAGGGGAACGCTCAGGCTCAGCAGCTTCCTGGTGTTTGATACCCAAATTGCTCCATCAGCTTTAAGGAGTTAGGGACAGGAAGCCTCATTACCAGGGTTTTTTTTATGTCTCATACGATGTCTTAACAGTTAGATTAGGTTTAGATTAGATACCAGGAAAAAATCCTTCATGGAAAGGGTTGTTGAGTGTTGGAATGGGCTGCTCAGGGCAGTGGTTGAGTCACCATCCCTGGAGTGACAGGGATGTGTGCATGTGGCACTTGGGGACAAGGTTTAATGGTGAATGGTGCTACACTGACAGCTGGACCCAATCATCTCAAAGATCTTTTCCAACCTTAAGGATTCTGTGCCTCTGATTCCAGGAGCTCCTTACAGGCTAACAGGGATCAGAGAGGGGCCAGACACTAAAACCCTTCCATTAACCTGGCAAGTCCCACTGACTTCATGCCAGCAGCAGTCTGTCATCACCCTCTCAGCCAAGGCAACCCCCTCCCACCTCCATCACCAATACCAGATATTCCTGATTTACACAGGGAATGGGTGGGGAGCTCTGAGCTTCAGCAGCAGCCAGCCAGGCCCTCCCTGCAATGGGGAGGATCTTACAGCCAAGCTACAGGTTAATGCCTGAACCAGGGCTGGAAAGACCCAAATACATACCACTTCCTCCTCATCCTCTTCTTCAGAGGGAACTCGAGGCTTCAGTGGTTTAGGAGATGCTGTCTCAAAGAAGTTGTCATCCTCAAAGAGGCTGCAAGGAGATAAAGAATGAACAGCTCACTCCCAGAGGGTGGGATTTGGTTTTACAGGTTGTGTCACAGAGTGATGTCAAAGCTCTGTCACAGAGACAAACTTTTAAGGCACAAACTGTTCCCCAGTGCAGGGTGACACTCGGACCTGGCAGCCTCCAGTATCAGGTTGTACAGGAACTGCACACTCCCCTGGGAACGTTCTCCATTGGCTCTACCAGACAGGGGGCTGCTCTGTGGCTGTTCCCAGTGGATTGTGCCCTGGCAGCCTGGACTGTGCCAGCTCCTGGCTTGTGCCATCCAGTGCCAGCACCCTGAGGGTGCTGCAGGCCCCACATACACCCTGCCCTGCAACAGTGGCACAGTTGTACCAGGACAGGGGCACTGTGGAATCCCAGCATCACACCTTACCTGGAATCTCCTTGCCTGGGGCTGGAGCCCCGTTCCTGCTGTCCTGGGGTTTCTCTGGTGACAGCTGAGCCCAGTTCTGCTGTGCTGGACACCGAGGCAGGTTGTTCCTTCTCAGGGCCAGCTCCATCCCATGGGTCTGAGCCACTCCCCTCCTCCCCATTTAAGGGAGGAGGCTCCAAACCTCCCACAGCCTCCTCTGCCTTCTGCTCCACAGCTGGATTTGCTGGAAGTGCTGCCACATCCACTTCTGGCTTGGCTTCTGGAACAGAAGGTTCTGCAACTTCTGCCTGCAAAGACACTCTGGAGGGACTGTGTTCTGGCTCAGCTTTCCCAGTGGGATTGCTCTCTTGCCTGTGCTCCTTCTCAGGAATAGGCTGTCCTGCAAGTACAGGCCCCGTCTCAGGATCCAGGTGGGATTTGGCTGTGGGAGAGAGATGCTCCCCCTGGACCTTCTGCTCCTCTGCCACCCCATTGCTCCACGTCCCCTGCTCCTCCTCACAAGTTCCAGGCCTGGCAGAGTGAGGGGCAGTCTTGCCTTCCTGCTCAGACACCATGGGCCCTGTGGTTGTTTCCCCAGGATCAGATGGGAATGCAACACTCTGTGCTGGGCTATTCTGCACAGACTCTTGGTGGTCAGCCTTTGCTCCAGGTGACCCCTCCTGTCTCACTGTTCCAGATTCCTCCTTTTCACTGTCATGATCTGGTTTCTCCTGCTGCCTGTTGAGCAGCTCCAGTGTCACAGTCTGAAAAATGGAGCAGAGAGAACGTGGGTTGTACACTGAACACAAACCATCAGGTTTCTGCATCACTCCTACTCCTGGGCTGCTTTGGCACCCACAACAAATTCTGCTGCACTGTTATTTCGGACTCACAACAAAGATCTGAGTCTTCAGCCCAAGAACTGTTCTCCCACACCAATCACCTCGTGTCTCTCATGACTGTGGTACCTTGATAGTGTTCATGACAACCCCCAGCACTGTCCTGCCACTGTAGGCCTCGTCCAGCTCAAATTCACCCCGAAGGGACTGAAACACACTGTTCATGATCTTCTTTACCTGGAAAAGAGCAAGGCAGGAAACAAAGATGTGATTCATTGCTATGTAGAGCACTGGACTCAACATCAGGCCCTTCTCCAGGTGAAGAAACAATAAATGCAAGCACACATGTGGTTTTTTAAAGAATCCCCATAATGCAGACACACCAGACCACCTTCATTCAGAACCATTCTATATACACCAAACCCATCCCTCCCAAACTGAGGCAGGTTGCACATGCCCAAGACTGGCACTTAGTTCTTACTATTATTTCAATTTTTAAATCTAAACCACAAATCTTAAGTCTCAACCAAAAAAAAAAAATCAAGCAACAATGGGCAGCAGGAAGATGGAGAGAGACTATTTTTTAAAAGAGTGACAGGACAAGGGGGAATGGCTTCCCACTGCCAGAGGGTAGAGTTAGATGGGATATTGGGAAGGAATTCCTCCCTGGGAGGGTGGGGAGGCCCTGGCACAGGTTGCCCAGAGAAGCTGTGGCTGCCCCATCCCTGGGAGTGTCCAAGGCCAGGTTGGACGGGGCTTGGAGCAACCTGGGCTAGTGGAAGGTGTCCCTGCCCATGGCAGGGGGTGGGATGAGATGATCTTTAAGGTCCCTTCCAACCCAAACCATTCTATGACTGATTCTAAGATCCCACCCTTCCTTCCTCTGTGGACTTGGCTACTAAAAACACAGTGCTCTGTGGAAAAAAAAGTATTTTTCCTTATATCATCCCAAAGAGAACAAATCAAGGCAAACTGATTTTAGTAAGGAGAAGTATTGGAGAGTCCAGCTCACTTCTTCAGTGAAGTCTGCAGGTGAGGATCCCTCCTGACCCCTCTCCAGGGCTCGGATCCGTTCTTCATAGCGAGCCTTCAGCACCACAGCATCTGCCTGCAGGGCTGAGAACTGCCAAGGGAAACCACAGTCAGAGCAGCTCCACAGGCACCTCCACCATGAGCCTCACCAGGGATGGGGGATCTGGGGGGGGTTTACTGAGGTAAAACCTCAGTGCAGTTTTAAGCAGGGCTTTGATAGAATTGGCTGAAAGCAACGGCATCAAAACAAGGCCACTCAAGCCAGCCAGACCCCTGGAGAGCCACAGCTGTGTCATCAGCTTCTCAAGTAACACCAAGAATGGGTGCAGCATTCCTGAGATCCCAGTGAAGCAAGGGCTGGTCTCATCACTGGACCTCCTCTGGTTTGCTGCAGGCCAAGTGACATTATCCCTTCCCTCTCATATTCTGGAACTCACATCCTTGTTCTTCTGGACACAGGTATACTCAGGCTAGTGATCCCTAACTCCAGTTCCCATCCAGATGCTCTGTTATTCCCTTTACCTTCTCTTGGATAGGCTCCAGTTCCTCCAAACGTTGCTGAACCTCTGACAATTTTTGCTCCTCTGCTTTTTTTGAGTGTTTTAGAGCTGTGAGCTGAAACACAAGAACCAGAGCCCCCCAGTTACAGCCCCTTGCAGTGTCACCCACTTCACAACAGCTTCTGCTCAGAAACAGCCACTCAGGGCAGTGCAGATAAGCAGGAGAGATTGTAGCTGTTGCTTCAGCTTGGCTCTCCCTCCTTCGTGAGCCCACCAACCCATGGAACTGCACGTGCAGACACATCCCACAGCCGAGACTAAGCTCCAAAACCATCAAGAAATTAAGAAGTCAAGTCACAATTAGGTGGGAGAGGATGTTCTTTGCAGTTACTGGCTATTTAGCATTCCATTTCAGCAACAAGGAGCAGCCCTTTACCTTCTCTTCCAGCTGGGACAGCTGCTGCTGCAGGGAGTCCCTCTGCTCACACACCTCCTGGTACTGCCGGCCGTGCTGCTCCTTGGCCGAGGCCAGGGCACGCTCACATTTGGCTTCCCACTGGGATTCCAGCTCTGCCTGGATGAGTGACAGCTGCCCATCAAGTGAGAGAGATCATTAGGAACACACCCACACGTGATCTGTATTTGCACAAGTGGTGAAAGCTTGGGGCTGGACATCTGCCCTGGGCTGGGACACCCACACACAGAGTGCAGCCCTGCAGCTGCTCCTGCCCACACCTCCCTGATCCAGCCACAACCCCTCAGGCTGGACAGAAGGTCTGGTTCAGATTTTAGATCTGGCATATTTCTAAGCAGCCCCTCACTTCTCAGCAGTCCTGTCTTCTTCTCTCTACTACAAACTCAACTCGGTCCCTCTCCTTTCCTCTGTTTGACACTAACCCTGAAAACCAAGCAGGTAACGCTTTCATTCTTCCACTGCCTGAGCATTTTCACAACTATTTCCTACCTGTAGGTTTCCTACAGGCCTTCCAGACTTGGAGCAGAACTCCCCTGACCCCTCACCTGCTCTGCTGCTGCCTGGTCAGTCGAAGTCCGGGCCTTTTTCAGCAGCTGCCGGAGCTTGTCGAGCTCCTGCTGATACGACCTGCGTATTTCCTCCATCTCCTCCTCTGCCTGAGCTCTCTCTGAGAGGGATTTCTTCTTCCTCTCTGCAAGATTCTGCAATACAGACCACATAGAATAGGCCAGACTGCACCAAAGCAGCTTCTCTTCCTCAAGCAGAAAGAAATTCTCAGAGCAGGGAACCTTATCACAGTAAATCAGCACCAAGGATCCACCAGCACAGGGATCTTTGCCTGCAGATGAGTCAAGATTTACTTAAATTGTGTATTTAAAAGCATGAACGTTGGGTTAACTTTCAGCAAACAACTGAAACCTCCACCTCTGGTGCTGGCACTGGACATACCCTTTCCAGGGTCTCCTTCTCCACTTTCAGGTCCGTCAGCTCTTCCTCCAGCGCCGTGATCTTCATGTCCAGCTGCTTCCGGCTCTGCTTCTCAGCTTTGAATCTGCTCCGAGTGTCCTCAGAGGCTTCCTGGAGCTCTGCAAAACCAGAGTGGGGTTTCAGTGCTACACACACTTGGGGGCTGATGGGGAGGAACAGTGTCTCCTGCACAACGAAGTCAATAACTCTGCTGGTGCCTGCAGTGGGGACTGAATTTATCAAGAGCTCCGGTGAAACGGCCACGCTTCTCACAGGATCATGAATTGTTAAGGTTGGAAAAGGCCTTTGAGGTTATGAAGTGCAACTGTCAATCCAGAGTCACCACCATGTTCAGCACTAACCCACGCCCCCAAGTGCCACATCCACATGCTTTTTGAATGCTTCCAGGGATGGGGACTCCACCACTGCCCTGAGCAGCCCTTTCCAATGCTTAACAACCATTTCTGTGAAGAAATTTTCCCTGATTTCCAACCTAAACCTCCTCTGGTGCAGTTTGAGGCCATTTCCTCTCATCCTGTCCCTTGTTCCCTGGCAGCAGAGCCCGACCTCCCTCCCCAGCTCCTCCCTCCTGTCAGGGAGTTGCAGAGCCAGAAGGTCCCCCCTGAGCCTCCTTTTCTCCAGGCTGAGCCCCCCCAGCTCCCTCAGCTGCTCCCGGTGTTCCAGACCCTTCCCAGCTCCGTTCCCTTCCCTGGACATGCTCCAGCCCCTCAATGTCTTTCTTGTTGTGAGGGGCCCACAACTGAACCCAGGATTTGGGGTGAGGCCCCACCAGTGCCCAGCACGGGGGGATGAACCCCTCAGCTTTTAACTTTTCACCCCCTCATCTCCAGGTCCTCTGTAAGATGTTGGACAGAAACACCAAGAGACTGTTGTACAAAAGGCATCCCCCCTGTGACAGGATGATTTGGCCACTTTGAGCAGTAACGAGGATGCACACATCCTTCAGACATGTCAGTGCACACATACCCTGTGACCGGTGCTGGGGAAAGCAGGAGCAGATACCCCAGGAAAAAAAGGGAAAAAACTACGACTTATAAAAGAGGACAAGGGACATGAAGGGCTCCCGGGGGACAGGCAGGAGCAGCCTTACCTGCCACCTGTGCCTGCAGCCTGTTGAGCTGTGCCTCGTGCCGCTCGGCCTCCTGCACGGCCGCAGAGAGCTGAGTCCTCAGGGCCATCTCCTGCTTCTGGTGGGCCGTGAGCTCCAGCTGCAGCTGGGACACCTGGGCTGTGGCAGCTGCCAGCTCCTCTGCAACTTTGGCCTGCAGTGAAAAACGGAGCAGGGAAAAGGGAAGGAAAAGAAGGATGTGTGAGGAACTGTTCTCCCAGGAGGAGCTGATAAGGTGCTGGAGACTTTATCAGGGAACACATCTCCACACTGAAGAGGCAGAGGTAACTTTTTTGCCATGTTACTGTGAGTTATTTGGCTGTAACCTGCCCACACTGACTAGAAAGTTGCACGAGGCCACCAAGAACCTCGTCACCACATTAATTCCACTCAGTGAGTTTTCCTGGAAAGCTCAAGTGTTTTCAAGCTAAGTAACTGTGTGTGGTGGCTCTGCTCAGAGTTTTCAGGGTATGACAACACCAAAGCCTGGGCTCCAATATCTAATTATCCTCCATAAGCTTACAAATCCCTGAGGAGCCACATAAAACACAGGCTTGTCCCAGCCAAAAGAGCACCTTGCCCCCAGAGCAGACCTCGAGCTGCCCACATGGGCAAGGCCAACATTTCAGAGCAGAGTTTTCACAGTCCTCTGTTGACCTGTTTAGACTCAGTATTGCTGAGTTCAGTGACTCACAGAAAGCCAGGCAGTAGTACAGCTTGTTAGACAACTTGCAAACAACATTAGGAAAGGCTCAAGGCACCAAGACAAAGACACAAAGTCACGTTCCCAATCTCGTTGCACGACACACAAAATTCAGGATGCTCTGCAAAGACAGAACTTGCACAGGGAACACCTAAACAGCTTCCACATCCATGCCTGCTTTGAGATTCCCAGCAGGCTTTCACTGTCTTGTTACTGGTAAGTTCAGGAGAACTGGATTTTCTCTCTGCTTTATCTCCATAAGAGAATTCTCCTCAGACTAAGACCAACACCTTCTGGCAGAGAAGAGCTGTGAGTAAAACTGCTCCAACTATGGTGAGGATGACTATGTGCTGACCCTGAGGGCTGGGATACCACACCATTCATTTTAAAGAGGAGGCAGCATTTCAGAGACTGGCTAACACCAGATCTGCTGTCCTCTTATGTCTCCATAAGTGTCTCACTGCCATAGTAACTCCTGGCATGCTAAAACCAAACCCATGGCACAGCTGAAACACATGGAAAGGTTATTTTAACACTTGCCTTTGCCTTTAATGGCAAATAAAGCAAACAAAAATGGGAATTCCTGTGGCAGGAAGTGTCACTAGATGTAGTTTCTGCAGTGTCCATACTAGCTCAGCTCCAGCTCTCAGGAAGAATCCTGTGTGACCTGTACCTGCTCTGACAATGATATGATCATATCCTGTTTCTCCCATGGAGAGGTGGAACCAGCAGCAATGTGACAGAGTTCTTGGAAAGGGCTCCCCAAATGAGGGGGCGGTGGGGCTACACTGCCCATTATAAAGCCCTTTTCCAAGTGGAAATCGGTGCTAATTCAAAGTCTGGGACAATTCTTTTCATGCCAATCAGTTTGTAGCTGGTTCAAGAGGAAGCTGGGCTGGCACTGCCTGGGGCACAACCATCTGTCACCTACACAGTCAGCAGACACTGCCTCACCTGGTCCCAGCCCCGATCCACTGGCAGCATGTGCTGGGAAGAGAAAGCAGTGACAGGAAACAGGAAGGGTTAAGAACACAACTTGAAAGGCAGAGGCATTCATCAGCAGAAAAGCAAAATGCGTCATACAACAGGAGCCCAAGGCATGCCAGAGAAGCCTTTAAATTACTCCAAGAACTGTGAAAGCTTAGGCAGAAAAAGGTAGTGAAGCCTGATGTAAAAAGAACAACACTAAAGGTCATCTTACAGGTATGTCACACACCACAGAGGTGGGACAGTCCTGCATGGGACCCCTCCCCTGCACTGCAGAGGTGGGGTGTTACTTTTGGTACACAAAGCTTTCCCCTAAAGCTGTGGTGTGCTCTGCCAGGGCCAAAGATCTATAACCCCAAAACAGCACCCTACTAACACCTCTTCCCGGTGACCCTGGGTACAACTGCCTGGCCTGTGCCACCAAACAAGTGGTGAGTCCTTATTTGTAAGTAAAGAATAGATAAAATAGCTTAGAATTCTCCTCCCTGGTTTTGTCTGTCCCTAGAGATCTCAGGGGTTGCAGTCACAGGGCAAGCTGGGTTAGACAAAAGGAAGAGGAAGGAATACCAGCCTTCACATTTACAGTCAATACTCTCAGAGAACCAGGGGAAATCTTCTCCCAGTGCAAGTCATGGCTTTGCTGGTATGGCCTGAAGTCTGTTTGTGTGACATTATCACCCAGGCAGTGACTGCTGAATCAAGGGGGGTCCTACTGAAGATGAGGCCCAAAAGATTCCTGAAGATCATCTCTCATACTTCCAAAAGATGATTCCTCCCCAAGTTACTTATTGTGCAAGCTGGATGCTGTCCTCACTGAGAGAAAGGAATTTAATTCATTATTTCAATTTGACTTATTCCTGGTTAGAATCTCTCACACTGCCCACACATTATGGGTATGCAGCCTGGGCTCTGGGTGGAAAAACAGCCCCCCTTCCCTGTCTGCTCACACCATTATCAGCCACCCCTGCTCTGCTCGTTACCACACTCTGGAAAGCTGCAGTTTGTGTCATTTTGAGGTGCCCCAAGTTATGGGTCTCATGCACAGCAAGCACTTGTCAGCTCACATTTGAACTGGAGGATACACAGCTCAGCAGGGGAGCTCAGGGCAAGGCCTGGTGTAATTTAAAAAGCCGGTGCTTGAGAAAGCAGAGCAGACACCATGCAGTGACAGAGCCCAGAGCCAGCCCAGCTGGGCTAGGCTGGCCTAAGTGGATATGCAGGATATGCAGCCATGCATAAGTGCATTTAGCTGGTTTAAAAGCTATTACCCAACAGTCCCTTTCACAAAACCACAATGTGTTATTGGCAGAAACAAACATCTCTTGATTAGTATTACAAAAAGTGCAAAACTGCAGTGAAGAAACTCTAGTAGGAAATAATTTTTCTTAAAGCTACATTCACTCTGTTTAAACAGAGTGAATAGTTAAACAATTAAATAGAAGGAATAAAAAACTGTCACTGCAACCAAATAAATGAAGTATTTTCAACTCAAAAGTCCTGTCACACAAAACTCCTCAACACATTGGCCATGTAGCTGCACAGTTAACAATAAATCAGGCACAGATAAATCACTTAACATTAAAGCATGAAGACCTACAGTTATATCCAGTTATATATGCGCTGCTTTTGTCATGAAAGTCAACAAAATATTCAATTTTTTTCTCAAAACAAAGTTCAGAACTACAGTTGTCTTAGAAGACAAGGCCTAAGCCTTGACTAAGAAAGCTTCATTCAGCATGTTTTAGTGCAACAACCAGCCCCTTTCCTGGCTGCTCATGTCACCATTACCTTCTCCTGCTCTGCATGCAACACTCTTGCCTGTGTGTTCTCGTTTGTTGTCTGCAGTGAATGGTTCCTCTGCTCCATCAGCAGGTTACTTTGTTCCACATACCTGTGAACAGAGGAGACTCCATGAGCATTTCTGTAAACACATGACTTGGAACAGAAGGTTCATTCAGAAAGGTGATATCTCAAAGCACAGAAGTTCTGTTTCCTTCATGACAAGTCCCAGGCCATTTTGTATGATGTCCTGCACTAAGAGTCTGGTCTCAGAGGGGTGAAATGGGTGTGCCTGGCACAGAATTTATCAGCTGGGATAAATGCTTTACCTCTCTGAAGTGTATAACCTTCCTATCACACAGTCAAGAGTTTCGATACCTTGATATCAGCTCAGCTGAACCAGGGACACCACATTCCCTACAATTTCTTCCCCCCTACTAAAGAGTCAGCAAAAGTCAAGCAATACCCATAAACAGGGTAAGTGTCCTCAAAGACAGCAGGAGGGTTTTTTCCCCCTTTTTACACACTCACTTTTACTGTAAATCCCAGCTTTGGAGACAGGCCCTGCAGAGAAGGGGGAG